ACAACTGTTTTCAGCATTAATCATAATAATAAATGTTCCTTGGGCCCCAAATCAGTATGTTAGAATGATTTTAGAAGGATCATGTGACACTGAAGACTGGAATAATAGCTGCTGAAAATTCAGCTTTGCCATCAGATGAAAAAATTACATTTTAAAATATGCTAATCACTGTGTGTTATCGAATGCTTTACAGAGAAAAAAAAATCTCATTTCGAACAGAAATTTTTCTGCAAATGCATTGTCTTTCAAGATTCTTGAGTATACAATTTATCATGTCTGTTGCATCAAACATAGACATTATTGTAGTTTATTGTTTATTTAAACAGATTAATGTTTTAGCATTAACAGGCTCATAACAGTGTTTTGACCTCTCATAAACTCCAATAAACCATTTTGGACAGAAACAGGGCTGATCGTGCTAATACAGCAGTAAGAGAGCAGATGTTGGCGTCACGGCACCAGCCGTAGTCATTATCACTGACCTCAGTGTTCATCATGTGACCCGTCCTGTAATTTACAGACCCCTAAACATTTACAGTCCTGTGCCAACTAGCAGTTAGGAAGATATTTTGTTCTGTTGGGTGATTTTCTTCAGCACACAGTCGGGTGATTTAGTGGCTCTTTAAGCAAGTCGGGTGTTATGGCTCTCTAAATGGGTAAAACCCCTTTGTCACCTTTGTTTGAGTAATGTGTATTTTTATGATTCTGGGAAGGAGTGTTTCCTTTTTTTCTGAAGGACTCCATCCATCGCATCCATCCATCCATCATTAAAAGTGTCCCACACAGCTCCGGGGGGCTAATGAAGGCCTCCTGAAGCGAATCGATGCATTTTTGTAAGAAATATATCCATATTTAAAACTTTATAAAGCGTAATCTCTAGCTTCTGCTAACTATGTGCGTGCATGGGAGAGTCGCATTCCAGCAGATGACGTAGGATGTAGGCATAGCGTAAGATCCGGTGAGACTATGCTAGTCTCGCAAGAACCAAGGTTTGTTTACAGGAGCAAAGGAAGCAAAGTTTCCTTTGTTTAACAAAGGAAAACAAGTCTCCTCTTGGCTTATATCGAAATACAAAAACGCATCGATTTGCTTCAGGAGGCCTTCATTAACCCCCTGGAGCCGTGTGGCACACTTTTTAAGATGGATGGATGCAGTTTATTGAACTTCTATTGGACTATTAAATAATACCACCCATTCCCTTCCATTATAAAGCTTGGAAGAGCCAGGACATTAAATATAACTCCGATTGTATTCGTCTGAAAGAAGAAAGTCATATACACCTAGGATGGCTTGAGGGTGAGTAAATCATGGGGTATTTTTTCATTTTTGGGTGAACTATCCCTTTAAATTTGGGCCTCTTGAACATCACTCAGTAGAGCTGCCCCGTTCACCTTCTCACATCAGTGCACTTTGCAAGTAAACACAATCAATCTGCAAGTCAAGTAGCAAACTTCGCCGGCTTTAAACGGCATAGTGATATCGATATAGACGTGACTTCTCTCAGGTCAGATTTTTGAGCACTGATATGGCTGACCTTGACTCATTTGGCATGACCCTCTGCTGGTGGGCAACTGTGAGATGTAAGCCAATCCCCCAGGCGCAACGGGTTCGACGGGGTCCTATACTTGATCGTACTCTGTTCGATCAAACTCCCACATGTGTGAATGTGTTTTTGAGACAAAGTGCAGGTGACATATCTCATTCTATCTCCATTAGATGCAGTGTTTTTCTTCTGTTATTTAACATTAGCTCAACATAGGTTAATTTTCATCATTAAATTATTATTTATTAGTCATTGCCAACACTAGTATGCTTTTAAATGACTCAAGCCAATTGAAAAAACATGATATTTCTCTTTCTATACCTCATCTGTTGTCTTTGGGTAGGCACGTTTATTTGTGAATGGAAGTGGGAAGTAACCATACACCCACTAAAGCCCTTTACTGCTTCCTCTGATATTTTTTACACAATGTTTCTGTTTGTGTAAACTTGATTCTCCTTCCTTTGTTCCATGCAGGACACCCACTAGAGCATGACACAAGCAAAATTCCCTCAGAAAGTCAAAGCAAATTATCTCTGGGCTAATGTTTCTCCAGGACACCAGAATAGCGCCCACACCCTTCTGAAGGTGACTTAATTCACTCTCAAAGCCTCGGCCAACATTGTTTCAGAGTCCAAACCTCCGTTGCATCTTAAACTGGATTAGAGTCAAACACTTTACCCATAGAGAGAGCTAAATGGAAGACACAGACCCAGATTGCGAAGCTTAATGTCATTTTAGAGCAAACTACTGATCGAATTGCAGCTAAAATGTGTCTAATGCCTGCAGTGTTATAGGTCTTTTGTATTCCTTCCAATAATTTCCATCAAGCTTTGGCTGTTTATTGTAAAGAGACACTTGTATCTGTATAACTTGCTTCACAATTACCTATTACATAGTAATCGAAACAACAGCATTGGCTTTATAATCACTGCCAAATAGGAATATTAGTCTGCAATCTTAATTCTACATGACAGATTGCTAGTGGCTAAAGCAGTAACCGGTTGAATTTCTGTGTTTCTGACTGTGTGTTCACAACTGTTTGGCGTACATGTTGGCAAGTGAAGAGAGAGCTTTCCACATGCTTTCATTTGGTTTATAATTTTTTGTTTTTCATATTGTAATATCTATATCACGATGACTTCATATCTCAATCCCAACTTTTTTTTTTTTTTTTTTTTTATCTCTGCATAGAGTCATAAGCTGAAGGGCTCCAAACTTGGAAATTACAGCCGATTTCTCTTATTCAACCGCACCTTCTATTTTCTAAACAAACATGTTTTGCTGTGCCAAGTGATTCGTTAGGCTTATAGTACTTGCTGTGTTTGGCTCTTTGTTGCTGAACACTCCTTGATTTGAACTATACAAAACAAAGCAACCTTGATGGAATGACTAAAGCAGCAATAAATATGATAAAGCTGTTCACTGAAATGCCATTGAAACCCATAAAACCACAACATGGTGACAATCAGGTCCTTGAACTGCAATTGAACAGGACAAGCGGTCTGAAAAATCATGGAGTCCTGTTAAAATTTGGCTCCCTGTAGGTCTGCTCTCTTCAATGGATTCACATGGGATCATTCATGATGTAATAAGTGGAGCAACACGGCCTGCTGAAATCATGGAAAAAATGGAGTAGGCGACTCTGTTGTCACTGTCGATTTTGTCGAAGTGTCTTGCAGCCAGACATTTTCCGTCACACATCACATCAGGGTGTATAGATTTCACTTGGTGACGTGTCTTGATGTACATGTGAACCAGTTGCACCTCACAGTTTGAACAAGTTGAAGAGTGAAGCATGCTGGACAGTTTTGCATAGGGATGAACTGATATTCAAATTCTTGCTGATAATAAGCAGAAAATTGTCATGCGATGACCGATAAAATTTGAATTATATTTGAGATTTTTCTACAATTATATATTTATATATAGAAAGCATTTAATATACTGAATATATATATATATATATATATAATATATTTTTTATAATTAAAAATATTTACATTTAACACTTTAGTTTTATTGTTACTAAATTATTAAACAGTAAATTAAATGTTAATTTAAAAACACTAATAATTTATTAACATTTGTTCAAATTTAAATGTTTTTATAAAATTAATGAAATTGTTATTACATCTAATTATATTTTTACATTTAATTGTACTGTTATAAGTGTTTTTAAAGAATAACTTTCATTGAGGTTTGGAAAATGAGGGTAAGTGATGAACAGAGATAATCATTTCTAATCATCTCTAATGACCTCAGCGTCAGTGGGCATCTCTTGAGGTTTAATCAACAGAAGTAGTCTTTGTGTTTCTAAAGCTTGTTCTGGTCTTGTCATCTCTCCAGCTAGAAGATTAGAATGAAAGCCTTCATGATAAACCAAGCGTCTCCTTTAGCTAGATATCTACATCTCTTCCTCTCTGAACAAACAACCTACATCTGCTTCCACCTACCTTTAAGACTGACTCTTCTAGAATTTGTGTTACTGCTCTGTTCAAGTTCATTTAAAACTGAGCCGCTGCAGGTCATCATGAAGAGGCTAAGATAAGAAATTGCTTTAAAATTGTGCCAACATGGAAATATCCTTTCTTTAAAGAGTGTTTATTTTATTTTTTTAAAGAAAGTCATAACTGTGATGGATTTGATGGGTGTCCTTGTGCTGATATGGTGTCTCCTTTCATTTTATTGGCCTCTTAAAAAGTTTGTCAAACTCTCCATGTGCTCTGGGTGTTAAAGTGTCTTTAGGACTGTTGGAGTTGTCAAGTTAAGAGTGTTTTACCTCTGAACAGATTTTACAGCCACTGGAGTGTTGATTATTTCAGGCTTCAGAGGTCACGTTGACATCTGAGCTTGATTCTCCTCCTTTTGTAACTTTAGTTTGGACTTTTTTGCCATTTTAAATGTCATTTAAAATTGACATTTTTTTATTTGAATTCATTAATTTATTTTAATTTATTATTTATTTATTTTTTACTTGTGATACATTTCTTTAAAATAAATGCCAGACTGATTATTTGGTTAAATGGTGCAAATCCAGCTAATACAGAATGTTCTCAGAACTTTAGCTGTATGAAAGGTATGAGGTCTCTCAAAGGTATGAACAAACGTTTTTGTTAATAGAATGTCCATTCAAAGTCATATGGTTTTTAATAATGTTCTAAAAATGTTATTTGTACATCATTCATGGAACTAATGTTTGTCAAATGATAAAAATGGAATGCTCACTTAACATTCATTTAACCAAGAAAAAAAGTGTTTTTACAAAATGTAAAAAAAACTGGACATTTTAAACGTTCAGAGAACTTTCAGAAATAACTTTTTCATAACTTAGCGGGAACGTTTGCAAAGCATTCTTAGAACATATTTTTGTTAACTGGAAACACATTCATAGACATGCCTTAAATACGACGATTTCCATGGATCTTTTCTAACATGGTCTTTTTGCTTGTCACCACAGATTGAGAACTACATCAAAGACAATATGAAGACAGAGATAGTGCAGTTACAACAGAGTGCTGTTCACAACCACACGGCGGCCATGTTAGAGATGGGCACCAGTCTTCTCTCCCAAACAGCTGAGCAGACGCGCAAGCTAACCAATGTCGAGACACAGGTATGTTCGTCCCAAGATCCATTTCATGCTCCATTAAGCGAACAAACTTTTTTCTATGTATCCCTTTAATACGGCTCAAATACAGCCAAGAAAAGCACTAGTCCTGCATTAGACATAAAGTCTCTTTTTAAGTATCATGCTAATGTTTTTGTTGCTCGATCTCTTTATGACTTGTGTGCCTCAATGAGACACAGAGGGATGCAGTAAAGTTGTGTTTTGCTGATTTGTCAAATAAGAGGTTGAGGTTGAGAATAACTGTTCCTAAGTGCTATGGTACTGCGGTATAGCGGTGCTGTTTATGACTTCTCCTGCTCAGTTAGTATTAACTTACTTAATGGTTTTAAGGTCTGTGTTTTTGCGGAAGGATTACTGTATTTTTATTGGAATGTTATTGTTTTCAGGTTTTAAATCAGACATCAAGGTTGGAAATTCAGCTGCTGGAGAATTCACTATCCACCAACAAGCTGGAGAAAGAACTTATGATACAGATAAATGAAATCAACAAGATCCATGACAAGAATGGGTAAACCTCCCAATCCGACACCACTTCTCACACACTAATATACAAAATTGAAATATATAAAATTGTATATACAGTATAAGGGGTTGGACAAAAATATTTATTTTATTTATATAAAAAAAGACTTCCATAAAAGTCTAGTGTGTAATTATACATAATATTAAGTTAGTAGCGTTGCTACTTTTAATTTGTTACTCTCCAACACTGCACACAAAAAACAAAAATCTGAGCCACAAAAAAAAACATTTCAGAGCTATAGTAGGGACCCTGCTTAAGCCGTCTCACTGTGCTGCTGTTTAATCTGCCAGTACAGATGTTCAAATCTCACTCACTTGTAATTTTTAGGAAAAATAGATTTTTATGCCAGAACCACAATACAGATCATTACACTAAATGATTTTCAATTCTTGACAACACAAGCTCTCAGACATTAGCTTGGTGCAGTGCAACAGAACCTGCCAAGACATGAGTGATGTCCCCTGATCCGCCGTTAAACTTTGTCCTCTGTGAAGATAAATTTTGCAATGCAAAGCTTTTGGAACACTTTCCAATTTTCTATGTATTGATTGTTCTGATGGGACATGCATGTTACTCTCAAAATGATGGTTTAATTCCCAGTGATCTCTCTGCTTTGAGCCCAGCTGTTGTTGAAAGCACACAAGCATTCATATCCCTCTATGCGTTTATCTAAATCTGAAAATGTGTTTATGTCTGCGTTTTCATTACCAGTGCTGATATAATTACTCATCCTATAATATAGATTGACGTTATGTCTTTCTCCTCTTTCAATCTAAAATTAATTTTGCATTAATTCAAAGTTCTTTATGTGGACTGAATTTTGCTTTAATAAGCTGGTGAATCCACCCCAGCATGCATCAGGTTTCCAAGATGTACAGCGCAGATTTAAGGCTTGGATCCATTTTAGACTTGCACTAATGCTCAAAGCTGTAAGATGAACTGTGTTTGTTTGTATGCTGTGTAAATTATGGATATTGACTACATTCATATCAGTATTTACTACAGCTGTAACAACCTCCATTGCTTCTGCCTTTGAATACTGAAACATAAATACAGTTTCATCATATAGTCAAACCTTAATGAAGCC